GCACACTGGTCCTTCTCTAGCCAGCAGCTTCTATGCTGTGCGCTCTTGGACACGGCTCCAGGAGCCAAGCATCCACGTGCATCACATCCCTCCAAAATTCCCTTCCAGGCACAGCTATGGCCAGCACATGCCTTGCACCACATTGCACTGTCACAGGGAGCCGAGCTGCCTCGCTACAAGAGGTGGGTGCTCCTGTGCTGGGATGGGGGTCCCCCGTCCTGCTCCATCAGCTTCCCAGTTTTTGCCCATATACCAGCGCCCCCGGTCTCTTTTTTCCATCCTCCTGGGGATTACCATGAATAGAGGGGACACGAGGGGATGCACAAAGGCAATGGGGATCCTGATGCATGTGCGTGTATAAGTTCCTCTGGGCTTGGGATGAGCGGAACATGTGGAACAAGTGGTGCTGCTAGGGTAGTGGGAATGTGGCCAAGGGAAGGTGCTGGACTGCTCTCCATGTATCCTGCCCCACAGGCCCCATCCTTTCCTCTTGCAGGTCTCTGGAGCAGTGCTGGTCTCTGGGCTGATTCAGGTGGTACTGGGAGTGTCTGGCATGTGCGGGTGGGCAGCTCGGCACTGTGGGCCCATGGTCCTGGCTCCCAGCCTCTCCATCATCGGGCTGTCCACATACAAGGAAGCTGCTTTCTTCTGCTCCACTAACTGGGGTGTAGCACTGCTGTATGTGAGCCTGGGGACCATACTGGTGTGCGACTCCTGGGGCTTTCCTTCACCACTGGGATAGGGGTGGGGCACCCCCATGGTGCACAGCACATATTTGGGGCCCCACCACTGTGATGCTGTGTGGTGACCTATGCTCCCTCTCCTAGGCTCATGTTCCTTGCTGTCACCTTCTCCCAGCACCTGCGGTCCTGCCGCCTGCCCTTCTGCGCCTGGCCCCACACTCGGGAGGGCTCCACAGAGTCATCAGTTCCCACCCTGCGCATGTTCTCGGTACCGTGTCTGTGACAAGGCTTCTCTCCAAGCCTTGCTATTTGGTGTGGGATTCGGTAAAACCTGGAGCAGAGGCAGGGGTGAGAAGTTCTGGTGCAGCTCTGGGGAGGTGCTGGGGACCTAGGGTTTTGGAGCAGCAGAGCCTGGGATGCTCCCTGGAGGGGTAAGGGGAGATGTGGCATAGCTCCATGGAAGAGGTGACAGGACAAGGACCTGCTGTCTGGGGCACAGCAGACGGGGCACTGGCCAGGCAGGCAGGAGAGAAGGGTCCTGAGGGTCTCCTTTTGCCTTGCAGATACTGCTCCCTTTTGCTGCTGTATGCATTGTCTGTGTCATCCTTGGCTGCTTCCACATCCCCTGGGAATCACTGGACATGTCCATGGCACAGCTGTCCTGGGCCAACAGCACCTTAAATGCCCCTTGGGTCCGCATCCCCTATGCAGGTGAGGGGCAGCAGGGCTGAGTGCAGCCATTCACCTTTGGCTGGGGCCTCTATCACCCATCCCTTTTCCCTCTGCTGCAGGTGAGTGGGGGTGGCCACTGCTCACCCCCCAGGCGCTGGCAGTGGGCCTTGCCATGGCCATCGGCTGCAGCATGAACTCGGTGGGCTGCTACGTGCTGTGTGGGAGGCTGCTGCGAGCCCCTCGGCTGCCCCCTCACGCCTGCAACCGGGGGCTTTGCATGGAAGGGTTGGGAAGCCTCCTGGCAGGACTGCTAGGTGCCCCGGGGGGCACGGCCTCCAGCATTGCCAACACCTGCGCCACTGGCCTCACTCAGGTATGCCAGGGTAGGGGGAAAAAGGTTGGCAAGGGACGGGGGAAGCAATGGAGCAGGAGTGGGGGACCCGTAATACCCAGGCTGTGACTGAGCCAGCACTGGGAAAGTCAGGTGGGTATGGCAGAATGGGGGCGGAGACAGAGTAGGGGGTGGTGCGACCCATCCTCTCTCACATTCTTCTTTCTGCCAGGCTGGCTCTCGCCTCCCAGTGCAAGTAAGCGCGCTGGCATGCATGGTGCTGGGCATGTCCCCGAGGCTGGCAGGGCTCCTCACGCGCATCCCGCTGGCAGTTCACGGTGGGTACCCTTCCCTGCCCTGCCCTGCCCCTCATTGCGGCACCTGCAGCCTGCCTGATGCTGCCTGACTCCTGCCCCTCGCAGGAGGAGTGCTCTGTGTCACCTACGCTGTGGCGGTGGGCACGGGGATCTCCTACTTCCAGTACGCAGACATCGACTCAGGGAGGAACATCTTCATTGTCGGCTTTGCCATGTTCATGGCACTGCTGGTGCCGCGGTGGTTCGGCACAGCTCTGACTCACCTGGCCACAGGTAGAAGGGACATTCCCCAGGCAAGGCAAAGCCTTGGGTCCCATGGCATGGTGACCACACATCTCTGGTGTCCTGAGAGGCTGGGTCAGCTCATGGTATCAGGCAGCTCCCTCTTCAGGCCCTGGGTCTGCCATGGCTGCTCCAGCCCCTTTCCCCCAGCTGGGCTGGGACCTCCAGGCTAATTCTGGCACCGTCCCTGCAGGCTGGGTGCCACTGGACCTCCTCTTCCTCTCCTTGCTTATGGTGCCTGTCTTCTTAACTGGTTTCTTGTCATTTTTTCTGGAGAACACAGTCTCAGGTGAGGGGTTGTTCTAGGTACTCTGCATAGTTCCTGCACTGAGGGCTGGATCCATCCATGGGATTGTTCCCAAACCACCAGCTTTGCCTCCAGGCAGTCCTGCTAGGGTCCCAAGGCTGATGTGGGCTGGGAGGATGCACCTGGAGGAAGGGGCTCACATCTCACTGCCTACCTCCCAGGAAGCCTGGAGGAACGAGGATTGCTCTCTGATCTGGCACCTTGGAAAGCCGGGGCGGGTGATCGTCACCCCCATGGAGAGAGGGGAGAAGTCAGCCAAGCATACGGGCTCCCCACTGGGCTGAGGAAGCTGCTGCCATCCTCCTGCAAAGCCTTCCCCTGCTGCTTCCTCTGCCCAAGGAGTGAGGAAGAGGAGGAGGGCAGCTGTGCCACTGAGGAGGGGACTTCTGCTCCAGGGGAAGGGACCCACCTGCTCCCCAAACCCAGCTCTGGGGAGCTGCAGCCAGCAATGAGGCCAAGCCAGACAGAGGTGCCCCCATGGCACACTGTGGCCTGACCCTGTGGTGTGGGGATGTCTTGTATGAAACAAGGGCTGTGTCCCCAAGGCAGCTTGTGAGCCACTTTGCTTCTCATTTCTGAAGCCCATGTGGACTGGAGGGACCTGAGATTCCACTCTCCCAGCACAAACCTGATTTCCCTGCTTGGGAGCAAGATATAAAAACCTTCAACCAACTTTCCCCTTTCCAGGGGTTTGCTTTCCAGACAAGATTTTTCTTGGGGAATCCCCTGGTGCCCTGAGGATTGTGACTGGAGGGTATGGCCAGCTGGTGACTCTGCAGCTGAGGATATGGGTGCCTCTAAAATCCACCATCACCCTGTGGACATGACTAGGGGAGGGCTCAGTGCTTTGGCCAGCCCCAAAGGACTGTCACCCTAGCCTTGCTCACCTGCTGGCACTGTGCTGAGGAAGGGCTGGCTCTCCACCTCCTCCCTGTTGTGCCCCAGTTGTGCCCATGGCTCCTTGATGCCCATAGTACCAGGTGTATACTAATGCTGTGGCACTCCAGGATGCCCCAGGCTGAGGGTGCAACTCAGCTCAGAATCATAACTCAATTCAGCTCAAAACAATGAGGGCCCTTTCACCTACAGTAGGATGGTGCCAGCAGTGCTCATCAAGTAACTGCCCCCTAGGTGCTGGTCTTGTGACTAAACCACCCAACAGCAGATTTCCCTGGAGAAGAAAACATCTCCTTTGACCTCAGGGGTTAAGCTGAGTGCCTGGATTGTTTCCCACTACCGTCTGCAGTAGAGTCTGCACCAGCCCTGCTCACTGCTCCAGCGTTTACAGCAGATCAGAGTCCACAGAAAAGACTCTGCTGCCTCCCCTCTGTGTCACCTCCACCAGTCTGAACTGCCCTGGGTGCAAATTCGAAGGGAGGATGGACTTTTGCTAGGAGGAAGCTAGAGCTGGTCTGTGATGTGCTGGGTGTGATGTGCTTAGGCTGAACCACAGCTCCAGGTTATAAGACTCCACCTAGTCCTAAGCAGTCCCTCAACACACAGAAACACCCAAAGGTGGATGCAAGGTGGAAGGGATGTGGTGGCACAGTGCGTGCAGGTCCCCAGCTGTGAGCCCTCTTTCCCCAGCTCTCTTGGATCCCCACAGCTGGGTCCTGTGCACCCAGTGGGCACGGGGTGTAATGCACAGCTCATCCTCATCCAGCCAATGCATCCCAACCTGGCCCTATGTTTCAGCTGTGCCCAAAGTCCAACTAGTCCTGCACCCCAAACCCTCTTGCACTCTAACCTGGCCACGCAACCCAATCTGTCCTGTGCCCCAAAGTTCCTGCCTTCTCCCTTGTTCCCTGGCACCCCTTCAGGATGAAAACTCACCCGCCCTCGGCCATGCCCTGAGGGGCAGCTGGTAGGGAGAGGTGTGTGAATAGAGATAAATGGAGGAATCAGGGACAGCTCGTGGGCGCATGGGAGGTATTTTGTGGGAGCAGGGAGGATGGCCTTAATGCATGGAGTGCAAGTTGGGGACTGCAGTCAGAGTGCGGGTGCTGAGGTTTCCGAGGTTAGTGCTTGGGGTAAGGATGGGACTGTGCTCCGTTTGGAGAGGACTGAAGGTGCGTGGTGTGCCAAGCTGCCACAGCCCTGCTCCGTGGTATCTTGTGAGCCCAGTCTCCACACGTGGGACAGAGGCACCTGCAGCCACAGCTATGCAGGGCTGGCTGTGGCGCAGCAGCCCAGTTCCCGCACAGCCGGGGAGAAGAGTGGTGCAAGTACCTGCCCTGTGCCGTGCCTGCGCCGGCACCCTGGGGCTGAGTAATAAACCTGGGGCCAAGGGACAGGAGGAATACCCCGCTGCCGCTGCCTCTCCGGCTGTACCGTGCCCCGTCCCCCGCTGGGCACTCGCACCAGGAGATTTCATAACAGGCGTAAGCGCAAAACAAGGTCGTAAGGCATTTCGGTCCCCACCAGCCGTAGCACCTCCCGTGGCAACTGGGAATGCTCTAGAGGGACGCGCCAGCCCGGTTCGCTGTCCTCATCAGTAGCGAAGGAGCAGGAGCAATGACACCTCACGATCTCTGGGAGCGGTAGCAGCTCCCGTGGCTCATCTCATCCAGCTGCACCTCCCGGCGTGCCCCGGCCCCGCTGGCCGCGGAAGAGAGCAGCATGCCGGGAGCCGTAGTCTGCCCTCGCCTCTCGCCCACGGCCCGGCGCCGGTCGCGGCTGCAAGCCTCGGCAGTCTCCGTCCGCCTCCCCCTCCCGTCCTCGGGTAACGCCGCGGCTTCGCACAGCCCCAGGCCTGCGGGCACCCCGCGGGCGCTGGGTCGCTGGGTCGCTGAGGGTTTTGGGAGGCGTGGGGTCCGTCCTAGGGAGGAGCGGGAAGCAGCAGTGGGCTGCCGGCACTCTTACCGGTGTCACTGCCGGCAGGGATGGCGCGGGCTCGCGTGGAGCGCAGGGACGAGATACCCCAGCAGGAGGAGGGCTGCAGCGTCCTGCCGCCTGCCCACTGCCAGCGGGGCAGCTTACATGTTAATTTGTGCATAGGGGTCTTGCCGTGTTACCGTCAGCAAACACGAGGTAACCGGGGGAGGCAGCAGTTATACTGCCGTGCGTCTGCTGGTGCATCTGGGATGCTTATTGTGAGCTGCGGTGGGAACTGCCTTGCACTGAGCTGCCCAAAACGCCCACCCCAGCTCTGTTGCATGCATATGCAGGGATGTGTGTCACCAGAGCTGGCTGAGCATCCTCACCTCTGCGCTGTGGGATGGGGTTGCATCGTGAAGGGGCCACCAGGGATCAAGGTCTTCCTGGGTGGAGGTTAAGCCTGATTGCTCTCTTGCAGATGGAGGTCTCCGAGGAGCTGGAGAGCAGCCTCCTGACCCAGCCCTGGGCTTCTGTTCACTTTGGCGAGTCTGCTTTTCTTGCCAAAGTGTGCTTCAGGAATACTGGTTATATCCTGCTGATCTCTGACCTCAGCAGTGTCTGGTACGAGAGTGCAGACACTGAGGCTGTGGGACAAAGGTCCAAGGTGAGTGCCTAAAAAGTCCAGGGACCTCCTTTTCTCCTTGCAGCAGCTGACATCCCAGCATAAATTGCTTGGGGACACAGTGATTGTTGGATGTGACTAGGCTTGGGTGCAAACACCAAGCCAAAGCACTGTCATCCCAGCTGACCAAACACTCTCCTCTTGTGAGAGTGGGCCACGCTGTTTAGCATGCCGAAGACATCTAGGTGTTCACTGAGTCTGTGTGCAGAGGATGGGACACTCTTTTCATTTGTGGGCTGGATGGGCAGCTGGTTTCCCCAGTAACAGTGTACTAAGGAGGAACTTGAAGCAAGGTTGCCAACCATCCAGTGACACAAATTCTGTTCGCATTCATAGGACAGTCTCTCATGGGGTATGCTGTCAGCCTGATCCTCAAAAACACATGGAACCATGCCTCATCTTCTCATCCTAGTCCATGTGCCCAGTCCCCCATGTGCCATTGTAGTGGCATGTCTCTGTGCCACATAATGGCTGTGCTGAATGGCCGGTGGCAGGAAGAGTAGGCATGTGGTGGCAGCCATTCCCCAGCTCTGGCAGTTCGTCCTGCTCTCGGCTCTTGGCCACCCTGTGACACTTGTGTTGGCACACAGATGTGCTAGTGGAAACCATTGCACTCTGCCCATCCTGGGCTGGCAGGACAGGGGAGCCTTCCCAGCTTGGCTGGCCTAAGAGAACCAGTGGGGAGTGTCCTGTCATGGGGCTGAAGCTGAGGCCCAGGAATGGCTTTTTGCAGTGGAATGGGGAGTAGTTTGGCTCTTTCTGTGCTGTTTTTCCCCTGGTGCTGAGCTCTCCAGGATATTGCTGTGCCCCCTAACCTTGCCTTTCCTTAGGAGCTGAACAAGCGGCTGACAGTCCATGTATCCTCCTTCCTGAACCACTTGCGCAACCTGATGTGCCCCTTGCTGGCAGGGCAGCCAGACTCTGCCACCACCTTCTCCTGCAACCGCTCTGCCAGTGGCCTCATCCTGCATGTCAAGAGCGAGCTGTCAGGATTGCCCTTCTACTGGGACTTCCACTGCTGCCCTGCTCCCTTGGAGATGGTGAGCAAAGCTGTGGAGAGTTTGGGGAGGGGACGGCCAAAGTTAGGGATTATCTTCTAATGCTTGGAAGCTTTGGGATGGTCTTGAGCCACTCTGGTGACTGTAGGTTGCCTGACTCTGCCTGCTGCCCCTCCCAAGGTTTACTGTCCCTGTTTCTTCTCACTGAGACTCTGGCACCTTGGTTTGTGCCTTGCAGTGAGGCAGGGATGGCCCAGCGCATGCTGCTGGCAGGGCAGGAGGGAGATGACCTCATGAGAGCCCACCAGAAGTTCTGCATCCAGGTCTGGGGTCCTCAGCACAAGAAAGACATGAACCTGTTCAAGCAGATCCAGAGGACAGCCACAAAGATGATGGGAGGACTGCAGCACCTCTCCTACGAAGAGAGGCTGGGAGAGATGAGATTGTTCAGCATGGAGAAGAGAAGGCTCCAGGACACCTCATTGCAGCCTTCCAGTACTTGAGGAGCATTTATAAAAAAGTGAGAGAGCATCTTTTACATGGGCAAATAAAGATATAGTTTTTTAACTAAAAAACGACACATTTAGATTAGCTGCTAGGAAGAAATTCTTCACTATAAGGGTGGCAAGGCACTGGAACAGGTTACCCAGAGACATTGTGGATGCTCCTTGTAGTGTTCAAGACCAGGCTGGATGGTGCTTTGGGCAACCTGATCTAGTAGGTGGAATCCTTGCCCATGGCAGGGAGTTGGAATGAAATGATCTTGAACGTCCCTTTCAACCCAAACCTTTCTGTGATTCTGTGTCCAGTGTGGGGTGATGCCTTGTCAGTGCCCTGGAGAGCAGAGTAATGCTGTTCTCTTTTGGCGCACACTGCAAAACGGGCCACAGGGCGGCAGGTACTCCTGGAGGACCTGCAGGTGATGTGCCATGATGGAGGGAATTAAAGCAGGCTCTCCCCAACTTTTAAGGGGAGCTGCCCAGGGGGCTGCCCAGCATGTTCCATTTCTGGAGGCAGCCCCTCTGCTGGACCCCTGCAGGTGGGACAGGGCTGTGGACCAGGGCTCCTACAATATCCTTCTAGACGAAATGTCCAGCACACAGCTGGATAAAGACGTCATGCAGTGGGTGAGCAACTGGCTCACGAGTCGAGCACAGAGAGTAATAGTGAATGGGGTGACATCAGACTGGTGACCTGTCACTAGTGAGGTTCCACAGGGCTCTGTCTTAGGCCCTGTGCTCTTCAACATCTTCATAAATTACTTGGATATAGGACTGGACGGGATATTGAGCAAGTTTGCAGATGATACAAAACCGGGAGGAGCTGTTGACTCCCTTGAAAGCAGGGAGGCCCTGCAGAGAAACCTCAGCAAATTAGAGCACTGGGCAAACACCAGCCATAGGAAGTTCAACAAGGGAAAGTGCCAGATTCTGCACCTTGGATTGGGAAACCTGAGGAATGAGATGCTGGAAGGCAGTGCTGTGGAAAGGGACTGGGGGTCCTGGTCAATGGCAAGTTGAATAGGAGTCAGCAGTGCCCTGGTAGCCAGGAGGGCCAACCATGTCCTGGGGGGCATCAGGCAAAGCAATGCCAGCCAGTCGAGGGAAGGCATTGTCCTACTCTGCTCTGCACTAGTGTGGCCTCACCTTGAATATTGTGTGCAGTTTGGGGCACCACAATATAGGAAAGATATTAAGCCATTAGAGAGGGTCCAGAGGAGGGACAACGAAGATGGTGAAGGGTGTTGAGAGGAAGCTGTATGAGGAGTATCTGAGGTCACTTGATCTGTTCAGTTTGGAGGAGACTGAGGGGAGACCTCATTGCAGTCTACACTTTCCTTGCGAGGGCAAGAGGAGGGACAGGCACTGATCTCTTTTCTGTGGTGACCAGTGACAGAACCCGAGGGAATGGCCTGAAGCTGTGCCATGGGAGGTTTAGGTTGGATATTAGAAAAAGGTTCTTCACCCGGGGGGGTGGGGCTGGGCGCTGGAACAGGCTCCCCAGGGAAGTGGTCACAGCACCAAGCCTGACAGAGTTCAAGAAGCATTTGAATGATATTATCAAGCACATGGCGTGGCTTCCGGCGATGGTCCTCTGCAGGGCCAAGGGTTGGAATCGATGATCCTCATGGGTCCCGTACAACAGCGTTTTCTGTGATTCTGTGATCCCCCGGGGCCCTTCGTCCCTGCGCGCACAAGAGGGCGCCCGGCGCCCGCGAACCGGCCCGCCGGGAGCCTCCAGCGGAGCCCCGGCCCCGGGCTGGCCCCGCGGCTCCGCCGCCGGTGGGAGGCAGCGCTCTGCAGCCCCGGCACCCGCTCCCGGAGGGTCGCACCGCAGAGCGCGCTTCGTCTCCCCACAGACGGCTGTGCTTGGGCATCACCAGGGGAGAGCCGGGCTCCTCGGCTGCTGCGGCGCCTGTCCTCACCGTTAAATTCGAACTGGGGAGCAAAGTAATCGGGGTCTCGTCTTGGCTTCTCCAAGGGATTTTATGTCCCTTCCCCGGGCAAGGCCCGCGGAGGCTGAGCTGAGAGCTCATGCTCTCTGCTGCTCCTCTCCTTTAGCTTGGACACACACTGGATGTCTGCAAGGCACTGCAGAGGTGGGAAACGGTTGGGGTCCTGAGCATGGTTGGTGTGGATGCTGCAATGGGGACCAACTCTGCCCCAGCCAGGGGCTTGAGGTGGACACAGAGGCCACCTGTCTTGCTCTTTCCCATCCCTGCTGTGGATGGTGCACTCTGAATGCATAGGTGGGTGATGGCTGCCACCTCTGTGGCTTGTGCCTGAGTGTGTGAGCAGGGCATGGAGGTCACTTGCCACAGGAGCAAGAATGATTAGGAGCAATGCTGGGTTTGCTGTCCTCTCGCCTGTGTGCTCAGCCTAGCCACAGGGATTTCAAATACCCTGCCAGGGACTGAAGAAGGTGATGAGAGGGAGGCTGCTTTGTGTGCCTGCTGGGCCAGAGTGGCCAAGCCTGGCTCTGGGGCAGAGGACGTGCCCAGGGCTCTGCATGGGGCTTGTGCAGGGGTAAGCTGGGGGGGAACTGGTGGGCTGCCATGGGGAGCTGCAGCCTGCATGAGTCCTGTGTGTTGGGATCTCTTCTGCTTGTGATCTTACCTCCCTGGGAGAGTCCCTCCTGTTCCTCAAGCTTCAGTTTGATACCTTGGTGTGTCTTTCTGTTTTTTTTTTGCCCAGCTGTGCCTATTTCCTGCATAGGAACATGCCAAGAGGTGTGCAGAGCCTTGAGAGGGTCTGGGTGGCACATGGGGAGCTCTCTGCCTCCTGCTGCACCTCAAATGGTGGATGGAGTATTGCCTATCGCTGCACACTGTTCCCACTGGGCTCTCCCACCTAAGCTCTCCCGTGCTACAGCCCACAGATGTGAAAGGATGGAACTGGGATAGAGGGATAAGTCCCACAGCATCTAGCCTGCCTTCTTCCAGCTCTCATCTTTTGACCACTTCCCAGTGGGTGAGATATGGGGTATTTTGGGGAGCCCTGTGTGACCTGGGCTGCAGCTCTTGCTAGGACCTTGCTGGCTGCCCTGCTTTGACTACTCTGTGTGCCGACCTGGACCTGGACCTTTCCTAGAGTGTTCCTTCTCCATCATAGGTGTCCCGTCACCTTGTGCGGCCCTTGATTCGGATGAACCTGGCGCTGCAGTACCAGGTGCAGGAGCTGATCTCCCTGCTGCTCCAGAAGGATGCTGAGATCGAAGATTACAGGGAGAGCGGGGCTGCTCTCAGCAGAGGTGAGGAGGAATACCTGGGGCAGGGAGTGAATTTCCTCCTTAGCACAGGACTGGGGTGCTCTGCTCCCTCTGGGGATTAGCCAGCCAGGCTTGTGTTTCCTGTTGAGCTCAGCCAGCAACATGACAGTAGCCAGAAGTCTGGGGAGCAGCCCCTGGGGAGAGCTGGGGGAGGAACAACCCTTGACTGATAGCTGGAGGAGCTGGGGAGTCACCAAGGGGTTCTCCACTACTCCGAGAGCACCTGGCTGGTCCCCAGGAGCTGGTGGGGATGCTAGAAAGGGCTGATCATGTAGTGGTGTCAGGCTCCCTTCCTGAGCGCAGTAGCTCACTGACTGCTTGGACCAGGGTCTCCTGGCTCTCCTGTACATGGAAAGTGCAGCTGTGCTCATTGGTCCCCCTCCAGCACCCAGCCCACTTCGTCATTGGGTGGAACAGGCAGACAGTAGCCCTCTTAGGGGTAGGATGTGGGTCAGGACCTACTGGGGGGGCAGCCACCTCAGAGGGCAGTTTTTCCTTCAGTGGAGGTTGGCTGGATGCTCTTTTTGGGTCCCTTGCTAGTGCCATGCTTTGTCCTGCTGCCACAGGTGATACATGCCCTTCTGTAGAAACCATGCCCCCAGGATGTGAGGACTGATATGGGTCAGCCCTGGCTTGTGTATCATGCCCAGGAAGGTGATGTGGTCCCACGACAGGTGCCTCACCAAAGGAGGCTGGATCTGTCCTGCAGGTGCACTAGACATGCATCAGCTGGCTGCGCTCCCCTCCCTCCTGTTGCTTGCCAGCTCTGCAGGGCTCAAAGCATCTAGGACAGCCCGGCTTGGGTCTAAAGATGGAGGCTCGTGAGCAGGTGACCTCTCTTGTCCCTTACTTGGTGCAGGGCAGGAGGCTGGAAGTAAGCTTTGCACCATAGCTGCTGAGCAAAGCTGGCCAGGTGCTTCTACAGACCACATCTTAGCAACAATGGGGAAAAACTCGTGTTTTGGACAAGGTGCAGAGCAGAATATAATAGGGGTATGTCCCTGTCCTGCAAGAGGACACAGGCTGGCTCACTCCTTCAGAAAAGCAGCTAGACAAGCAGTGCCCTGTCCTGCAGATGCAGGCAGCTCTTTCCAGCTGTAAGATCTGAGAATAGTGCAGCGCGTGTCCTGTCACAGTCCCCTACTCTTTGGTGTAGGAGGGTGCTGGGACAAGGGCTCTTGGCTCTGCTACCTGACTGCTGTGTGCATCAGCAGGCTCAACCGTGTTTCTCTCACTTTGCTGTGGTCGTTGCACCTTCTGTTAAGTGGGTGATGTGTCCCTAGCCCAAGGGTCCTGCTGGGCTCTCCTGCTGGCTCTGGATGAGCATGCTGGAGCTTTTTTCCTGCAGCTTCCTCACCCCACAGGCAGGAGAAGGGGAAGCTGGGGCAGGAGGTCTGGCCAGACCTGCCCAGGCTGATCCCTCTCTCCCTTGCAGACCGACTGCGGACAGAGCCCTTCCAGGAGGAGACATTTCAGCAGAACTTCATGGCTGAGGTAAGGAGCAGTGCAAGTCCCCCATCCTTTGCCACAGGGGAGGTCAGGAGCTGGCATCAGCAGCCCCAGTGTGAGGTGGCCAGGCTGGGTGGGAGCGCTGATGGGACTGACTGGACTCATCTCAGGAGGGGTCATGCCCTCTGGCTCTCCTATTGTCCTCTCTGTGTCCTCACACATCATCCGCTGGGTGAGCAGAGCTGGGGACATGCCTGTCATGGCTAGATGGGCACTGCCTGGCTGCCCAGAGGTACCAGCCAGGCTGGCTGCTCCACAGGAGCATGCGATTGCTGGGGCATCCTCACCTGCCTCCCACACTTCCCGTGGACTTGAAACACTGTTGCTGATGGCAGGCAGGGATCAGGTGAATGAGGAGAAGCCATCTGCTCCTTTTGGTTCACCTGTTGCTTTTAGAGGTGACTTTGCAGTGGTGAATTGTGGGCTCAAGTGCTTTTCAACGTTATCCGTGCTGTGGCTACCACTGTCTCCTTGGCACACTCAGCTCTAAAATCAGATGTGTTTTGGAGAAACTGGGACTGGAAAAAGAGAGTCTTTCCTCTGATCCTTTTTTGTGACTGGAAATCATCCCAGAAGCACTACAATGATTCAAACTAATGTGTCAGGGTCAGAAATGATTGATGTTCATTGATGCAAAAAGACTCAGGATGCTTTCGAGTGTTCCTGTGCTCACTGTGAAGGCACAGGAGTAGGGAGCAGTGGTGCCTGCTGGGGTTCAGGGAGTCAACCAGGGTGTCAGTGGTATCACACAGACTTTGTGAGGATATTGCTTTATGAGACAAGCTGATGCTCTTGTGCAGCCAGGAATAAATGATCTGCAGAGTTTCTAAAAATTAGAGACGATCCCTATTTTATATGTGAGGCACTGCATCCAGTGCAGGCAATTTCGTTTCCCCCTGCTTATGAAGGATAGAGCTGAAATTCACTGCTGGACTGCAACTTGGATGTTGCCTAGGCACCGATGATCATGACCAGATTATATTCACCCTGAGCAAAGAAAGAACATTCCTACACAGTAATTTAAATCCTTCATGCTTTTGAAAGGGCTAATTTCCCAAAGCAGGGGGAAAATTATGAGTGAAATCAGCTCAGAGGAAACATTTAGATAGAAAAATGTGAATGAAAATGGTGAGCTCTTTCAGAAGAATCTCAGAAGCCACAGAAAGCCACAATTCCACAATCAAGAAGGAGGGCAGTGCTGGCCAAGAGCCCGTTCTGGTTCAGCGGCAAAGTGAAGGCAGCAATTAGAAATAAAAGAGCAGTTTATAACAAATGGGAAAGCGGGAGTAGATAGCAATCAATATAAATTAGAAATTATGAAGTGTAGAAAATGGATAACAGAAGCTGAAGACATCAGGGAAAAATTGTGATGAAGGACAGAAGGAAAGGCTTTTATTTAGTGTAGTAGGAGAAAACCCCAAGCTCCCAACAGTGGGATAAGCTTATTAGTAGACAGAGGTGGTAAAATGATTGATACTGGAACAGACATGGCAGAAACAGTTGGTAAAGGTCTCAGTGCTGTCACTGGAAGGATGTAGGCAGATGTGCTGGGTTCAGAGGATGATGAAGTGTGTCTTTGTCCAAGGGTCGGCTGAACAACATCTGCTAAAGATGAACATCAGGCTTGAAACTCAGCATCCTCTGAGAGCTGGTAGGGTGTGGGGCACAGGGAAAGGTGCAGGTTGGGTAGGAGGGGAGTGAGGCAGCCCTGCACAGAGCCTTGCAAAAGCAGCTCGTGGGGATCACATCTGCAGAGATTGAAAAGATGAGATGGCAGCTGGTGCTGTATCCCAAAAACAGTCCAGGAGCAGTGTCTTGGGGCCAGAGGGAATGAAAGGTTCTGGGAGATGCTCCCCATCTGCTTCCCCTGGTAGCACGTCTGAGCACTGGCCACAGAGGAGAGGCTGGGGGTTGTGTGTTCAGTCTGACAGGGCGATATCTGTCATCTCTGTCCTCTCATCTGTCATCTCTGCATTTATCCTGTTCTTTGTAAACCTGCCAGTGATGCTTTTTGGCCCACGTGCCTTCCTGCAGCAGTGAGCTGTGAGATGTGAACAGCTGCTGCCTTTGGTTTAAATGTGATACCCTATCATTCCTTCTGATGTCTTCTGGGTCTTGTGCTAGTAAGGAACACCAAACATGGTTTTTCAGCTCTCTCTACCACCAAAACTGCCTCTTCACCCCAGTCTCTCCTCTTTTCTTGCAGCAGAAAGGTGGGCTTGTCTGTGCAGGGATTTCAGAGCACCCAGGCGATTTAGTACTCCTTGCAGTATTCCTGAAAGGAGCAGCATAAGCAACTGGGGTCCCTTGGGGTATGCTGTGAGAAGCTGGGAATGCTGTGACCAACTCCTGTGTCTAGGTTTTCAAAAAGACGCCAGACAATCAGCACGAAGTCAAGGAATGAATTGAGGGCTGGGGAGAGAGCTCAACGTTGAGGGACTTGGAAGGAACGAGCTCTTCTAGCTTATCAGAGAGAAAATTGAGAGGTGCCTTGATTACAGTGTGTGAGGGTCTTTACAAGGAGAAAATGCCAGTTAGTGAAGGACTCTCTTTAATCTCACAGAGAGCAGTGGAGAACAAGCCAGGCAATTTTGAGCTAGGATGGAGGCACTTGGGTTTGCTCCTGCAAGTGATTAACGATTGGGGCATTCTCCCAAGGGCAGTGGTTGATCCTCAATCTCTTGATGTCTCCAAAAGTTGGGCTGGGAGCCTGCCTGGAAGAAAACCAAGTTGCTGGGTTTGGTTTTGGGATGTGCATGGTTGAACATCAGTGGGCGGGAAGTCAGGAGGAGAAGTCTGATGGTCCTTCCAGCCTCTCCACTTGCAAAATGCGGCTTCAGATTGTGAATGTTTGGTAGCAGTGAGCACGTCCTGGCTGGAAAGGGATGGTGATGGTGTGGCACAGGGCTGAATGTGGGAAAGTGCTCCACAGCTTTGCTCACTTCCCAAACCTTTGCGGCATCCCCTATGGAGAGGAAAGGACCTGTCAGTCCCCTAGGGCAGATCTGCTCAGCCTCTCTGCTTAAACATGCCCTTTCCCTGGGCTTGTGTGCACTTGGCTGTCCAGGGCATTTTAACTAACCGTGGGGAGTTTTCCAGCAAATCCCTGGTAATATTTATACGTTTAGGAAATGATGCTTTCACACACACAGTTTTTGGCAAGGCTTCACTGCTGAGCAGCTGCCTAGGCTTGGGCAGAGCTGGAGGGAGAACGGTGGCTGTGCACAAGCTGAGGCAAAGCTGGTGGCTTTTATTGGCAAGCCCAGGGGTTCACGCCATGAGGGGAAGGAGCAGGTGGCTGGAGAGGGCTCAGAGCTGCCCTGGCACTGTTCCCAGCAGCCTAGGATCCTGCAGGTTAGGAATATTTTGTCCCCAGGTGTCCCTTTGGGTTACAGGGCAGTGTGGGGTGCCCACCCATGGGTTTTGAGAGCTTGTCCCAGCTTGGCTACAGTCAGCATTTCGTGACATAGCATCTGCCAGAGTCAATCCGGCTCTATGAGGAGGCAGGGTCAGGGGGTTCATGCAGTGCTGTGCCCCGTGCTCTGACAAGGGCAGAGACAGGTACAGCGAGGACAAGCTCACCGATACCATCAGTGCAAATATAGCCCCCGCGCCCCAGGATGCTCTGCCCTGTGTATTTTTATCTGCTGCGGCCAGCGCGGGGGTGGCTGCTCCGCACCTCCGCAAGCGGGGCGCGGGACCTCGGCAAACAGGACGCGGCGGGTTCACGGCTCGACCCCGGGGCCCGGTGAGGAGGAGGAGGATGTGCCATCAAAACAAGCAATGCTGGAGAGGAAGATAAACAAACAGGCGGCTTCCAGTGTGGCCCCAGCCGAGGGCGAGTGGGAGCCCCGGGGCCAGGGCTGGCTGTGGTGGCGGCGGCGGTGCTGGCTGACGTCAGGGCGCCCGGGGGTCAGCATCCCTCTTATTGTTCCCCACCGGGGCTGGGACCAGGGCCAGGCGCCCGTCCCCCTCCCGTGAGGGGATACAGGCCAGCAGGGCAGGTGGAGGATGGCTGGGACACGCTCTGGAGCCACAGGCTGTTGCCACTCCGGGGCCAGCCGGGCACCTGCCTGCCTCCAGCACCCTGCCTCGCCTTTTTAACAAGCACTAAAAATAAGCCCCAGGGAGTGGAGTGGCCATGGTCTGGCCGTGGGCGAAGGCGGTAGCAGCCTGCGCATTTTGCAGGGTGGGGACGGCATCCCTCAAACCCGCACCAGCCCAGCACAGCGGAGAGGAAGCGGCCCTTTGGCTCCTTCAAACGAGGGATGTTTTTAATTAACGCAAGGTAGCTGCGGCTTTGCAGCTGCTAGTGGGCCAGAGCGGGACCAGCAGTGTATATGTGTGTGACATGGACTGCTTGCACACCATGGGTGCACAGCTCAAGGAGAAGATGGCATGGGCACTCAGCTGGGCTGGGGTCCCTTGGCAGGTTGGATTGGGGCAGAGTTGGCAGTATAGGGCTGGCTTGTGGGGCTGCTCGGATAAGCAGAGCAAGCTCTTGCGTGCAGCAAAGCATTTATGCTGTGCTTGCCCACTGAGACCCATAGGTGCTTGTGTCTCGTTCTGGATTGGGGTCACTTTGGCGGTCCTCGCTTCATTCCTGAGCAAGCTTTGTTCACACCATCCTACTGCTGCCCTGGGGTCCGAGTCCCACACTGGAAATGCAGTAGGCTATGGCTGTGCTGGAGGGAGTGGGACACATGCTGCCTTGCACACACTCAAGGAGCTGCACGCTGCTGCAAGCAGGAGGGGAGGATCACTTGTGCTCAGTGTGAGTGTATGTACAAGAGCAGGAGCATGCAGACAAGACTGGGAATGTGCATGCTAGCACTGATGGGAACAAGGGGAAAAGTGGCACAACTGCTGACTGAAGGAGACAGGGGCTAGCACTTGGTGCCCACAGTGGGGCATTTGGGGAGAAGCACAGGTGCTTGTCACTGCATGGGTGCTGACCACTGCGTGGGCACTGGCCCCCTGTGGTG